AATCAGAGCGGACTCTCGGGCAATGGATTTTGATTTTCAGTCACACTCAAGAGAGTGACCCCTCAGAGGTAGATATATACTCATAATATATAGAAATACACACACACACACACTCACACACACACATATATATACACACACACATATATACACACTTTAGAGCCATCATTAACATTTTATGTTAGAGAACACAATTAGTCATGCCCCTGGTTGTTATTGTTAGGTGCCTTCCAGTCAATTCAGACCCATAGCCTAGGGTCACTTTGCATAACAGTGAAACACCACCTGATGCATATCCTCACAATTGTTCCTATGCTTGAGCCCATTGTTGCAACCACTGGGTCAATCTCCTTGAGGGACTTTACCAAACCTGGTGTCCATCTTCCTGGACTAGTCTCCCCTGACAACATGTCCAAAGTATGTAAGATGAAGTCTTGCCCTCTTTGCCTCAAAGGAGTGCTCTGGGTTTCTTCCAAGACAGACCAGTTTGCCCTTTTGGCAGTTCATGGTACTTTCAACAGTCTTCTCCAGCACTATAAGTCCAATACATCAAGTCTTCCTTATTCAATGTCCAACTTTCATATGCATATGAGACTATTGAAAATACCATGGCTTGGGACACCTTAGTCCTCAAAGTAACCTCCTTGTTAAGAAGAAGTGAGCAGCAGGTTTACCTAATGCAACTTAGCTTTTGATCACCCTGGGGCATAATTTAATTTTTTTCATAGTTAAATTAATTTAGTCAATGGTATAGAATTTAAAACACAGTTGAGAAAAGGAGATTATACAAATATAGACTGGCTCTGAATTACAATACATGAATTGTTCACTTGTACAGTTTTAGACACTAGTAGTGACTGGACATGACTTGCACAAACAATGCGGGTTGATGATAGGTCAAAACTTTCAATAATATTAATTCACAAAGGCAGAACCATGTCTTCCAGTCATAATAAAGCAAAGAGGTTAAAATAGTAAATATCTGATGGTCCCAGACAACCATCCATTGGAAACCCTAAAGGCAAGAGATCCAAACCGAAGTCCAACCATTGCCAGATCTATAACTTTGGGATAGCAATTACCGGGTTCTTCTCACACTAAAGAGTTTCAGCTTCAAATCATAGGGCTACAGTTAAGTTTGAGGTAAAGCCTAGTTCACTTATTAGGGTTTCCACATCAACTCCTTCTTGTGTGGCTTATCAAGGATGTTGTATGCCTCCAAAGAACAAAATCTAAAGTCCCAGTAGTCTATAGCACATGGTCTGGCCATCAAGGGCTGGTTAGAAACTAGATTGGAAGTGTCCCATTAGGAACACAGTACCAAGCATATTCTCCCCTTTGGTTTTATGTAAGTAACGTTAAGCATTTTCCTCTCTCATGGGAGGTTTCTCTTCCTCACTTACACATCAACAGAAATGAAAACACCTTCTCCTAGACCTGCATGCCCCCTTCCCTCATTTTGACTTGACTTTCAAGTAAGGTTCTCTTATTACTCTTGTGTCTGTTGATTTGGGGATGACCTTAGCAAAATGTTGTATGGCAACTGAATGGTTTTCTCCCTTTCCTCCCATCTTGAAAAAATGATCCCAGCTGATGTGAGACCTCCTCTTTCAAAGTGTTTTTTAAAGTGTACATATAAAGGGTGGAATATATGCTTCATGGACACAAGGCAAGCTTTCTACCTTGTTGCTTTGGATACCAGATTAGAAGAGTGCATGACCTGAGAGGACTTTCTTTGCCTTGATATTTATTCTTATTTTAGTAGTGAACTCATATTATATTTGCCCTCTCGTAAAAATTGACTTCCTTCATTTTAGCACTACATTACTATATTTCTTGTTATAATACTCTCCTTTGTCTTTTGAGCCACACTTTGAGAAGCCATCTCCATTGCCTTATTCTGAGTGATTTAATTAGGAATTGTTAAAATGTACTTACTGTAACAGTGGTGCTGGTCTGAACTCTCATCTATAAACAAAGAAAAAAATATGAAACCTAGTGGTTACCATAATGAAAAATGCAAATGCAAATTCTAAATCAATATACTATGTACTTGGTTTATTATCCTCACTTGTCATTTCTACCTACATGAATAGCCTCACATTTCTCCCTTTCTTAAAAATCTAATTCTATAAAATATTGCAGTTTGCTTGGGCAAAGCTTACATTTCTATGACATGTCTTTAAGCACTATGACTGTACTTTTAGAGTCTTGTTTGCTCTTTACTAATAAGTTTTGTCCTTGTATTTAACAAATGACCTCACATTCTTTAGTTACTCAGAGCATTTGATATCAACTACGGACATGTAGAATTATAAAAACAAAAGATGGAGAAAAATCAACTAAACTAATGGCAACAACAAAAACACCAGGAGTGGCAACAGGGCTATCTGATAAAATAGATGCCAAGGCAAAATGCATCATGAAAAACCAGAAAAGGACACTATATAATAATTAAATAACTAAAACAACAAGAAGACATAACCATAGTAAACTATGTGCAATCAATGAAATCCCTCAAAATACATTAATTAAACTGTTATACAGAAAAATAGACAAAACGTAGGGGGCTGGTCCCAGCCCCAAATACTAAGTGGATGCCTGCCCCTCCCCCGAGAAGAATTTATCTCAAAGGATGGCACTGAATCTGCAGCTTTGGGAGAAGGATATATCTAACCAGAGCACACAGGAGCAGATGA